TGCGGTGAAWCAACAAATTGCTCAGGTTTATTTGTTGTAGGTTCTAGCTGCGTCTGTGGTTCCACTTGAATTTTGAGGGTTTTATGATGTCAAGAGTGTGTCAATAAAGGAAAGTACAACTAAGAGGAAATACAACTCAAAACCGTGCACAATTTGTTAAGTTGGGATACTTTCAGAATCTCAGTCAATTACACTGTATAGCCATTTCAAACATTCCAGGCCCCCTTACCAGATTTATCATTCTTGTTCCCAGATTCATTCCCTTTGTATTGGCCAGACACACATATAATGTAAATGTATATTATAGTTTTTTATTTTTTTTATAAAGAAATAAAAAAATCATATAACGTGCTCAATGACATGAGTATCCAGAGCAACGTAAAATGAAATAGATATTTTAAAAACAAGCCACTATATATTCATGATGGATATTTCTCAACAAAATTGTATCTTCTTCATTCAGCTGGTAAGTGTTACACTCTTGGAACATACAAAACAATTTTGTCGAGAAATATACAGTAGTCTGCATATTATAATTTGTCATCTTATGTACAAGAATTTACTCTAATCAAAGTTCTGGCTTGGGCTTCCTGTGCTTCTAGGAAAATAAACACTCTTGACTAAAACCTTGTGAGCCTTCTATTCATGTCCAGAAATTGTGGAAATTACATAGATAAACTGAAAAGATAAGAAAATAATTCTATTATCAACAAGAATTCAATATCTACAATGGTCTAATGGATTTAGTTACAAAAAAAATATTTAGAGAAAAAAATCAGAAGTCTGAGTATTGAAGTCTCATTCAGAAAAGAAATGACTTGAGCATCATTTCATATACATGTATTGAGACTAGAGGTGGTGATTGCAACTTGTCTCTACAAAAACACCACAATTTAGTCTCACTAGGCCTCAAGCATACAGGAAATACCACTTAAATTAGTGAAGGGTAATTGTGTGAATTTCTCAATTAAACATTTCATCTTTTGAGATTATAGAGGCTCTGATTATAGCAAATATCAACAAAAACACCATGACATTTAGGCTCTGTAGGCCTCAAGCATACAGGAAATACCTCTTTTAGTGTAATAGTGTGAGACTGCAATCATTTCAATGATTTTGTATGATGGGCAAAAGCACTACATTTTGGGCACAGCTTTTTAAAWTGTTTGATATTTGTAAAAAATGCACTCTATTAATACATAATTTCTGCATTTCAATGCATGTCTTGAGTATTTATGCCCTTTCTCATCTCCCTATCTTACTAGGCTAAAAAGGATTGTTAATTTACAGTCAGAAAAAAAATAAATAAAAGATGTTGGTTTACCATTTGTATCTTAAAAAGCAAAGCCTTAAAACATCATAACTATGAGGAAGAGTTTCTCAACCTCTGCCATCCAGGGTAATGAGCACTATTTTATAGAATAATAG